CAGCAGCAACAGCAGCAGCAGCAACAGCAGCAGCAGCAACAGCAGCAGCAGCAGAAAAAGATGTTATAGTCAGAGACACTCAGACAGAGACTGCAGCAGCAGCAGCAGCAACAGCAGCAGCAACACCAGCAGCAGCAGCATGAATAACTGCAGCAGCAGCATCAACAACACCACAAACAACAGCAACACAAACATCAACAGCAACAGCAGCAACACCACCACCATCACCGCCACCACCACAGCACCACCACCAGCAGCACCACCACAGCAGCACCACCACCAGCAGCAGCAGCACCACCACCACCACCACCACCCACACCACCACCACCCACAACACCACCACCAGCACGAACAGCAGCAGCAGCAGCAGCAGCAGGAGCAGCAGCAGCAGCAGCAGCAGCAAAAGTTTACAATAGCAAGAAGAGAGAACTTCAGCTCCTTCTGCTTCGAAGCCCGCGTGGTGTCTCCCTGTCTCCTCTTTTGTTATTTTTCCGTTCTCATAAACCCAGCAGCTAAAGGGCCGCAGCAGCAGCTGTCTAGACACCTTAAGAAAACGCTGCAGCAGCTTTGCTTCCTCCGTTTTATCTCCTGCTGCTGCTGCTCCTGCTGCTGCTGCTGCTCCTGCTGCTGCTGCTGATGGTCCTTCTGCTGCTGCTGTTGCTCCTGCTCCTGCTGCTGCTGCTGTTGCTGCTGTTGTTGTTGATGATGTTGCTGCTGAGGGTAAGGTGTTAGTACTAGTTGCGGTTTGTCTTGCTGCTGCAGCAGTTGCTGCTGTTGCTGCTGCTGCTGCTGCTGCTATCTTGCTCTGCAGCAAAGGCCCCTCCAGCAGCGGCAGCTTCGTTCGCGCTAGCAGCAGCATTAAGCTCGCTATAGACTCAACGATTGCTGCTGCTCTGAATGGAGACACCAACAAGCTGCTGCTGCTGCTGCTGCTGCTGCTGCTGCTGCTGCTGCTGCCGCTGCTGCTGCTGCTGCTGCTGCTGCTGCTGCTGCTGCTGGTGGTGGTGGTGCTGCTGCTGCTGCTGCTGCTGGTGGTGGGGGCGATGGGGCCTGCAGCAGCAGGAATGTGTTCATAGGGTGTAACTACAGACCACATGGGGACTCTCTTTGCTCTATCATCAGTCTGCTGCGCTGCTGCTGCTTTGGCTAGCAGCCTAGACAGAGTAAAGGCTCTACATAGACGAGCTCTTGTCTTGCTGCTGCTCTCTTCTATTCCTGCTGCTTCTCCTGCTGTTCGTGCTCCTGCTGCTGCTCCTGCTGCTCCTCCTGCTGCTGCTCCTGCTGCTGCTGCTGCTGCTGCTGCAGCAGCAGGAGACTCCTCCTCCTCCGTCAGGGGACCCAAGAAATCCGCAGGCAGAGCAAGCAGCTCATCGAGGCCTCCATGTGTAGTTGCTGCTGTTGCTGTTGCTGCTGCTGCTGCTGCTGCTGCTGTTGCTGCTGTTTCCTCTTGTGTACTTTCTTGCTGCGCAAAGACAGCAGCAGCAGCTGCGACTTCATCTCCATGCAGCGGTGTTGCTGCTGCTGCTGCTGCTGCTGCTCCTGCTGCAGCAGCAGCAGCAGCACCCCCAGCAGCAGCAGCAGCAGGACCAGCAGCAGCAGCAGCAAGGGGAGGAGGAGAGATAAGAAAAGGCAGCAGCAAGAAGCGTAGAGCAGCAAGAGCATAAGCAGCAAACTGCTGCGCTGCTGCTAGCTCCTGCTGCGAGGGTACGTGCCAGTATATATCTTCGTCTCCTTTCTTTATCCAGAAGGGGGCCCCCCATCTAAATATAAATATTTGTCTCCTTTTTATATTTTTCCACTCTGAGCTGCCTATACACCTGACGTGAGAGAGCTCATAAGGATACACTGAAACCCAGGTCTCTATACATCTACGCAGCAGCTTTACTCCTAGTTTATATATTTTTTTCTGTTGCTGCTGCAGCAGCGCATGCACCAAAGACAACAGCTGCTGCTTATATGCTGCTGCTGCAGCACCACAGCCACGAACACAGCCGCAAAGTAAACGTAAAAACCAATCAACAAAAAAAGGAGACACCGAGGGTTTCAACTGTCTCCTTTCAAAGGAGACACCATATACACACACCATCTCCTCCTGCTGCTGCTGCTGCTGCTGCTGCTGCTGCTGCTGCTGCTGCTGCTGCTGCTGCTGCTGCTG